GGAAAACTAGGAGGAGGAGAAGCCTGGAATGCCTTCAGCATATCCAGATGTTAAAATTTTCTGTAAGTATTTCTGCCCAACAAAGAGGAAACCAAATAAGCTAAGTCTGGTCCATAAGCTTATTTGTAAGAGGCTCTCTCCACATCTTCCCCATTTTTCAGTGAAACAAAGGTAGATAATCACTTACCCACCAAATCTGCATGAATACATTTTTATTTTTCACTTTTGCTACTTACTTTCTGTGCAGAATCTTAAATATGGCCTAATGGCACTGCAGCGCCTGTTAAGGCCTCCTTTGACACTCACTAAAACTATTAAAATTCAGACTTATCATTTATGTGACTTCTGTCCATTATTCCACTATTGTCCAAACTATTTTTCATTTAATTAATTTCCTTTAATTTCTTCTAGCTAAAAAAAGCTTCTCAAGGAAATTACATACTGCTCAGAAGCAATGATAATTCAGCAAGGCTGAATTTATATTGTCATTTAATTCAAAAACAAACAAACAAAAAGGCAAAAAAACCCAGCACAATCCCAGACGCCTGTTCCTGTTGTCAATTTTATTTGGAAGGTATCTACAATACATTTTAAAATATAGAAATAAATATGAAAGGTCTATACAAATAGGAATATCAACATGTAAGGAGTACCAATACTGCACTTGATTTTAATACTTGTTTTTGAGACTTGAAGGGACAAAAGCTGCATCAAACACAGCCCCTGAATTTAGTAAAATAAATTTTACAAAATTTAAGATTACAAAGCTCTGTTCATATCTAATGGAACCCTTTAAATTGAATTTTCTTCAACATATATGCAACTACAATGCTTAAGTAAGGTTTAGTCCCCTTGAGAACTTTGCAATAGAGACTGACCTAACAATTTCCTCATATTGGCCAGTAAAAACAAAGTCATACTTAAGTTGTACTCAGATGTAGTATTTTGGCATTCTCAGTTTAATGATATACTGTGTTAACACAGTATTTTTGAAATACAGTCCAATATCTTCAAAGGATGAAATCTTGTCTCCCAGTAAAATCCAAATCATTAAAACAAACAGCAAGCAAACAAACAAAAACCTTGGAAATGGGCATTTGTTTTTTTACCAAACAAAATTTTCCCCCAGGCTTTAAAACATTTGCTTCAGCACCAGTTAAAATATTTTGGATATTAAAAAAAAGGAATACATAAGTGAACTTTGTGGGGCGGGAGGGGAGGTTGAAGATGATAATTTATAGAACCTTTCCCATACAGTGATTTTATTCCAGCATAGGGAATTATCCACATGCCCTTATGTAATACCACTGATTCACCTAATTGAGGGACTATAAGCCAAAGCAGGTGCCTAAATGACTGGAGGAGTCGGTAACAACTTGAATAAAACTGATTTAAAAAGTTTTGGTTTTTATTTTCTGTTAATAAAAGGCCAAAAATCCAACACTATTGAAAGGAGACCACATAATAAAGCAAAAATTTCTGTTGACTTTCCTTAAGGAATCTGATCTCATCCCACAAGTAAAGAGTTCCCAGATGTTCATTTAGGAACTGCAGAATGAACTTGCTGGCAATCAAAGGACGTATTTCAGATATTTCCTATTTGGACAATAACAGCACAGGCTTTAATTCAATTCAATGGTTTTTATCTAAGAAAAGTATATAGGCTCGCCCTCTCAAACCTATTTAGCAACTTACATAAAAACTCTGTTCGAAGAACATGGGTGTTTAGCAGATGGTATATATACATACACACACTAGAGAGTGCTTGGGAATATTTACCATGTTTTTCAAAACTCATATTTTTTATTATTATTAAAAAAGTGGAATAAGCTGTACTAATTTTTCTTTTCTTTCCTTCAAAATAAAGCATTTTGAACTCATGGTACTAAATGGACCCTCATTTCCATTTTTAAAAGTACAAGTGCTGGGTTCATTCTGCCAAAGGAGAGTTTGTACATTCAATAAATACATGGGACAACACTCTGCTCGGCAGTAAAAGGTGAACAGGGCTCTACCTGTACAGCGACTGTCCTGCAGGGCTCGGGCTGGCTGCTCCAGAGCACTTCTGAGACAGAGTTGCTGGTTCACTACAGGTTTTTGCTCAATTTCTACTGCTACAAACTCTTTCTGAGCACACCCAGCAAAACTTCCTCCGCTACTGAAAAGTATTTTCCAGGTTTTCCAAGTAGAGCTGGAGGTCCTGCAGTGCAGGCTCGCTGCTTGTCCGCAGTGTCTCTCCCAGAGGCTCCAGACTAACAGCCCCAAGGAAGTGTTCACAAGAGCTGCAAGGCCTGGCCTGCAAAACCCCCTTCTAGTGACCATGCTCCCTACAGCAGGACTGGAGTCAGAGGGTGTAACATTCATGTTAAACAGCAACCATAACAGCAACCAGTTTATACATACAAACAAAACAAGATACCATGAACACAAAAAGCTTCCTGTGTAATTTTTACAAAGAAAAAAAAAAAAAACAAAACAACATACTTTCAAGGAAGGAATGTATTTGTCAAAAAACAAATTTTGCTCCATTAGGAATGATTTCCTGAGCTTGAAATCGAACAGAGGAAAAGCAAAAGGCAAGTGTCTTATATCACAAATTACACAGCGGTATCACTAGGGCAGTATTTTATACTTGTATTTCTGTTATAAGAAGAGTTAATAAGTTACAAATATGACTTTAAGAACATTATAACTAAAGAGTAGTTTATTCAGAGCACCTTAATCTTCTTTTTGTCGTGTATGAAATCGTTCCATTAAAGCCCTAAATACATTTCCAGGTATTTTCTGATGTTTGTCTATTAGAGACTGGATTGCAGCTTTTGCCTGTAAAGAAAAAGATAAGTTTTGGCAAAAATAAATATAATCTTTATATTGTTGGAACAAGGAAACAACTTCTGGGCTATTTTTCATCCATTCAAATACTGCAGAATTACTTTAGGACCAAAATACTACTTCTCATATTTATGCCCACAGGATGTGTCTCTGGGATCAGAGTCCAGAAACAAACCAGAAAATTTGTATATTTCATCTCCAAACTGCTTGGCAGCTGTCATCACTGTGTTCACAAGCTCTGCTAGTGACATGCAGCAGTAAAACGATGATGCAGTAAATTAATGAGGACACCTAGATCCACAGAACATGTCAGGGCCTGTGTACTTCAGCTTAACCCAGAAACTTCTGCCTGTGCCCAAGTTGGCAGCAATAACACTTCTTCCCAGTGCAATACAATAGCGCTGCAAGGACTTCTACACACCCTCAGGAGCAGCACTGGAAATGCAGCTGCCTCCTGCTCAAATCCCTTTGGCTTTTTCAGAGCAATAATCTCTTCATCCAACCCCCCTAAAGCAGCAGGTCCAGGGAAGCATGCTTAGTCACACTTGAAAGACTGCATATGACAGCAACATTCACTCAAAAACACAGGAGGCCAAGAAGTTAATAGCAGCCATTCCTATTGTATAATAGCTCTGCAGGGAACATCCAAATCCAGGGCAATATGCAGAGATTTGTAAGGACACAGAGCAACCTTCCTATTGTGCCTAGAGAAGCAAAGACTGCTCCATTCTTAATTCTTAAGACAGAACAGCAACCAATTTGCTTTTTGTAAGCTGATGATTGGCATGCTCATTTGAGAGGCTGTAAAGGTGAATTTTGGCACAAGGTTTTACTGTTTATATGAAAAAGACAGAAGCAAGTGAGAGAGAGCATTAATGTTAGACTCCCAAGAATGGCTGGAGGTCCCATAAGCAGACATTCTCTACCAAAAGGCAACAATTCAGAAGCTCTGTCAGATTAAACCATGTGTAAACCCCAATAGAAACGCTCACTTTTGCATAAACAGGTCATACAATAATGCAGATAAAGATTTTAACATGACATTTTGCATAGATCTTATCAGAGGGCAAACAGGTAATGAAAGACAACTGAACTGAAACCAGTCTGGTCAAAATTAAAAATATTCTTCCCCTCATATGAAGTTTCCGCAATGCTAATAATGACCATAATAATGAAGCTTTCAAAAATAGATGCTGCAACCTCTGACAGTTTGATGACCCATCAGCTTTGTGTCTATGCACTGTGAAAGCTATTCATAAACTAAAGCAACAAAAAACACTGGCAGTGCTCTCCATAACTTCAGGTCGAATAACGGGGGGCAATTTGCAAGTAAATTTGTTGTGTGAGGAGCTGGAGGTGACAGAAATGAGAATAGACTTTTTGTGGGCATACATACTGAAGCATCAAAAGTTCCACAGGAACTTAAGGAAAAATTTCTTAACAGTGAGGGTGACAGAGCCCTGGAACAGGCTGCCCAGAGAGGTTGTGGAGTCTCCTTCTCTGGAGATCTTCAAAACCCGCTTGGATGCCACCCTGTGCCACGTGCTCTAGGTGACCCTGCGTATGCAGGGGGGTTGGACTAGATGATCTCTAGAGGTCCCTTCCAACCTTAAGCATTCTATGATTCTATGACTGTGCAAAGCTGTGAAATGATTTGGTTTTTAGTATTTTTATTATATAGAGTTTTCACAATTTGTGACCAAAGGCTACCTAAGTTTAGAAAGCTTCACTAGGATCTTTCTCAAAAGAAAAGAAAAAAAAAATGAAAAAAAAATGGATATTTCCCTGAGTGTTTCCTTATCAACACAGAACAGATAAATGGAGTTACTTTTATCTAACTTAGCTTCAGTCTCTAAAGTGCATTGCTCCTTGGAGCAAATTGATATTAAAAGGCCTACAACTTCTGCAAGTCCAGTTTTAAAAGACAGCATTTAGCAGGACATTCAGCATTCAGAGAATTCAAAATTTATCATGATTCCATCAACTTCTTTAATAAGGTCCAACAGAAAAATCACTATCCTGACAAGTATATTCCAGGATTTTGTATTAAAAGAGTCAACATGTTAAGTTATACACATATACATACACAGATACACGCATTATCTTACCTTCACAGTTAGTTCCTCTGCAGTTACATTTGGTTCGTATGGAATGGGATCTCCAATAAATGTACGGAGCTTGACTGGAAATCCGCCATACATAGGAACTATTGGCAATCTAATATGTTCATACAGTGACCTAAATATTTCTAGCATGAAAGAATTTAAAGGGAGAGAAAGAGAGAAGGAGAAAGAATGAGGATGTGAGAAAGATGAGGAGTGGAAAGAGAGAAAAGGAGAGAGAGAAAGAGAGAAAGAGAGAGAAAGCGAGAGAGAGGAGAGGGGAGAGATACAGAAGATTAAGATTATTCTGGAAATTGCTCATTTTTTTTCCCTCCCCCTGTACTTTTTTTTTTTTTTCTCTCCCAGTATGTTTTAAAATCGAAATCGGTTTGTCAGGTAATCTGGCCCCTGCCCCTACTTATCAAGCAATATGTCATCTCAAACACTATTCTGCCCTTTACTTTTGTCTATTATAAATAAATAAATACATATATATATATATATATAAATGCAAATGTAAGACTTGTTTCACTTCAGAAAGAAATCTCCCCTCCAAAGAGTAACTGCAGCAGGAGAAAAAACCCAGTAGCTGCCCCTCTGGAAGGGAAGGGAAAGCTTCGCAATATAGTTACAGTTCAAATAATCTTGCAGGTTAGTTTAAGAAACTAATATTGCTGGAAGACTGTTCAATCCTACTGAGATCTAAAGGATCAATAACAGTCATATCTACCTCTAAAACAGTCATATTAAAATATTGAACTTGCTCTTTCTGAACAAGGTTGCTGTGAAATACTACAAAAGGGGGAAAGGAAAAAAAACAAACAAACAAACAGGTTATTTAGTCCCCTGTAATTTTTCTCCCTCATACCACTTCCTAAGCATCGATCCCAAACATCACCAGAACACAATTCTCACAGAATGGGTGCTAATATCATTCCTCTCGATTTTAAACAAGAAATTTCTTCAACTGAGTGTTGGTATAAGAAAATTCTTACTGACTGGGATGGGATTTCTTCTGTAAACAACATTATAAGAACAAAGAATACTCCACAACTGTTGCAACTGGAACCTCCTGTGATCAACAGCGTGTTAGTCAAATCCCTCTCTGCTGTAGAACATAAGTACCACGAACATTTTGGGGCTTAGATTTCTAGCTTAGGAAGATTAGTTTAAGGCGTTGCAAACCCTAGCACTTATGCACACAGCAACTATTAATTGCTCTTTATTTTTGTAGAACCAGAAGAACGTGAATTGTTCTGCCTGTCTCCATTGATGCCCAACCTTTCTCCATGCAGGGAATTGCTCCTAAGCAGAAGGTAGAAAGGCAGGGAACTGTTTGTCCTAGAGTCCTCTGATGAAGGTGACGATGCCACACTTGAGGCAGAACAAGCTGCACGGAAGAGACCTCCATGGCCTTCCCCGCCAGAGAGCAGGTTGCAGAAAGAAAAACAAGAGTTTGACACCAGCAGGTGAGCAGAGATGTGGGCATCTAACTGAGCCAGGCGGGGACCTTCCTTCTGGGCTTATACCCCTCTATCAGTGTGTTGGCTGGAACCCCCAAAGAAGTGAGGGAGAAAGACAGTAGGCAAATGCGACGTGTCTAACTATGCAGTATATGTAAGTCAAATTTAAGTGCAGGTGGCAGGGTAAGCTTCAAGATTTAAGGTATAAGCTTAAAGCCGAGCTTTAAGAGGCCATTTAAAGAAAGGGTTTGCAACTGACAACTAATTATGTTTGTTTTGCTGCTTAACAGAGAGCAGAAAGCCTAGAGTTGGCCCAAAACAAACATCAGTGTAAATGTACTTGCCTTTGTTCTGGCTCATTTTTCCCTCCTCTCTTCCATGACATACATGAAGACCCACTGTTATGCAAAGAATAACTTACAGGAGGGAATAATAGATTCTAGTGCTTGGATTCACCTATAATAACATGTATCCATCTCATTTAACTCTACTCAAGGGCAAACCTCAAGAAATAATTATGTGTCAAATCTCAACTTTTATAGATTCCTATATTACTTCTACAGACAAAGGCTAAACACGCATGGAAAAAAGAAACTACAAAAAATATAAAATATCTTACTTATTCCTCCTAATGTCCTAATGCCTTCTCGAATATTTTGTGTAAACATAGGAATGATGGGCTAGGAGGGAAAAAAAAAAAGTAAGAATTTAATGAAGATAGTACTATCCAAAAAAAAGAATATATATATATCTTACTTAAAGCCAAAGGGCAAATTAATTTAAGAAGTGTTTGTCAGACAAGGACATACAGAGAGCAAAACAAGAGTTCATAAATTCTAAAGCTGAAGCAATGAGGTTTCAGGCTGGAGAATAACATGAGCTGACAGCAAGTTACTGTTTCAGAAAGTCTATTTTCTTCAAGCAGGGCAGCATTTTAGAACTTATGGAGCATATAGGCTTCTCTTCATCTAGCAGTATTTGTACTTTTGTGACTGAAGTGGTTAAACCTCTTGACTAATTTGGAGTTATGCTCCAAGGAAAGCATTCACATGATTGGAACTCCAGACTTGTCTGATGTGTCTCTGCTCTGCTGGTTTTATTACTTCACACATAATGTTTCATTGCATAAAGAATCTAATTTCTGCAGAGGAATATTTAGAAGAGTGTGAATAGTTCACACTTTTATTGCTGTTTTGAAAGCTACAAAAATTTTTCAAGATTCACAAGACCTGCTGGGGGCTCTATTATATATGCTTTTTTAATATGAAATTATAATAGATGCTCATTTTACACAGCAGCATTGGAAATACGTAGCTCTACAGGATTCTCAAACGTTCAGATTCTTTCAGGCTTTTTACAACGGCAGGGAGATGAGTTAGCAAGTTAGACTTTGCATACAGGTAATAATTTTTGCTGTTGTTGTTAAGGCTGCAAATAATCTAATGCAACTATAGAGACTAAAAAGGAGCACAGTTGGCTAAACTGAATGGTAACACATTTCTATATTCTGGACCATCTACTTTGGAACATCTTACTTTCAACATACAGTTATAGGTAAAGATTTTTGCATTTACCAAGCTAGTCTATAAGATAAAACACACCAAAAAAATCTGGTAGACTTGCTGCTGAAACAAAATGACCTCAAGAAGCTGCAAGTTTAGGCAGATTTTCCTTTTCTAGGAAAGTTGTGATTAAAAGTGATTTAAAATTCATCTTTTATCCTATACAAAGTATTTCCCTTGCTTTCAATCTATCTCCAACACTGTTCCTACACTACTGCATCTCTCAATTATGGAAAACAGCACAAAGGGAACTGAACATACATTCAAAGGAAATAACTAAACCATAGCTGAATCCCAACTATGCCCTTTCATATGGTATTACAGTATCCCAGTAAAATCTAAATTTTTTGAAAATACCCTGTTTAAACTGCATTATGCTCCCCTTAAGCACAACCTTACAATGTAGAAACTGTCCTGGATTTCATCTCTCTCTTAAGATTTCCCCACTTCCTAGATATCCGGATGATAATATTCTTAGCTGACTCCAAAACCTTCTATCAAAAGGAGAAAAAAGAATCTTGAAATTTAGTTACAAGAGCAAGCAGAGCATATCCATGATGTTTAAAAATGTAACACCAAAATATTCAATAATCAGAACAGTTTCCCCAGAAAAAAAAGTATTAATAAGTTAGCATTCTTTGCTTCTCTTCTGTGACCAGTCACACTTACCACTTTTGCATCGATGGCCACCTGAGCAAAGCCCTTTCGATTACCCCACATAATAACATATGTTTCATCACTGAAAAGCGCTTCCCGAACTCCACCAGGGGAAATGGCTACCAGATGGCCACTCTTGAGAGCATTGACACATTCTTCTTTTGGTCCGTGCATAACTCCAAGTACATCAAGTAATAGTTTAAAACCTGCAGAATACAAAAGTATTAATTCAGAAAATGTTAATTGACACAACCATCGAGTACTCATTCCCAAAACAGAACACAGTGGCTAAAGCTTAACTTGTCTAATAAGCTATATCCCTGAATCAAAGATGTTTCTGGTGATGCTGAAGCATTAAGCCTTGCTTGTAAATTTGCAGTTGAAGATTTAGTTTTTCAGTTTCTTTTAATCAGTAAAGTCAAATGCTATCTCACAGTTCAGGGGAAAAGGGGAAAAAGGGAAATAGGGAAAAGCACTTACTGCAATCTTTATTGTGTCCTTTCAAAGGAGTTAAATCTGCTCCAGAGCACTGTTTCCTTGCCTAACCTCTATTTTTCAGATATAGCATAGTCCTAGAAAAGTCCAATAACAAAAGAGAGCACCAAATTTCTGTGTTTTCTCTCTCCTTTGGCAAACAAAGGACACTAGGTACAAAAGACAAATAAAATACAGCACTCTCCAAGTTCTGTATCACTGCAGGTATTAACTCCACAGTTCAGTCTGTACGTACATTGATGACCTTTCACTACAAAGACCAATCTGCATATACTCATCTCAGGTTGAGATTTTTTCATCTACTGTTGAAGTACTTAAATGCAAAATTACACACACACTTCTTGATTTTGAAATGTCATAATGACCCTGCTTTTCAATAATAGAAGAATATCAAGAATTGTTTACAAGAGTCAAATAGACACATACCTGCGTAATTCAGACAGCTCGTTAAATGTGAAAGAACACAACTACCATCAACCTCATTTTTAAAAATCTGTCCAACATGTTTACTTGGCTCAATACATTTTTAAATATATTTTAAATTCACTTAGCTTTTATGAATACCACATAATGAAATGGGAACTTCAGGTGACTGAGCAGGAAAGTTTACTTCTTTCTCAAAGTTTCCCACAGAGGCTAACGGAATTTTGTCTTGATGTAGCCCACATAAATAAAGGCCTTGGGAAGCACAGCATGAGTCAGCACAACATTAGTTTATTCTTAGTTGAATTCTGATCTCCAAATTGCTTTAGGTTTTGGTGTAAATAATAATTACTCCTGATTTATATCTATACACAGCCACAAATACGACAGCAGACCACAAGCCCTATTACACATGAGGTGCATGTGATTCTGTGAGGTCCTTGCCTTGCACTGCTCGTAGATGGCTGCATGTGCTTTAAACACTGTAGGTAACACTGGCAGTCTTTACCTTGAAGCTTGTGAACAGAAGACTCTTGAAACATGGCTTCTTTTCCTTAAAGCCTTTTCATTTCTTTCAGTTGCTTTGTTCAGGGGATTTTACATGGTTTTACATTCCCAAACTAGTTAGAACTGTTTGGAACATACGTGGCATTACAAAGTCACTTGCTCTAAGCTCCCTTCTGGAAGTGAACTGAGGGGAGCTACAAAACATTAATAAAAAGGGTAGATCCAAAAGGAAGAGAGGCTCCAGGGAAGCAGTAGGTATGAAAATAGCTTTCACAGAATTACAGAATGGTTGAGGTTGGAAGGGACCTCTAGAGATATCTAGTCCAATCCCCCTTCTCCAGCAGGGTCACCTAGAGCACATGGCACAAGGTGGTGTCCAGGCGGGTTTTGAAGATCTCCAGAGAAGGAGACTCCACGACCTCTCTGGGCAGCCTGTTCCAAGGCTCTGTCACCCTCACAGTTCGGGTTCTTCAGGTTCTTCCTCACATGGAGGTGGAATTTCCTGTGTTTCAATTTGTACGCATTACCCCTTGTCGTCACTGGCCACCACCAAGAAGAGTTTGGTCCCATCTTCCCTACATTCTCCCCTAAGGTACTTGTACATATTGATCAGATCTCCTCTCAATCTTCTCTTCTCTAGGCTAAACAGACCCAGCTCGCTTAGTCTTTCTTCATAAGATAGATGTTCCAGTCCCTTAATCATCTTTGTGGCTCTACACTGCACACTCTCTAGAAGCTCAATGTCCTCCTTCTGCTGGGAAGCCCAGAACTGCACCCAATGTTCCAGGTGCGGCCTCACCAGAGCTGAGTAGAGGGGCAGGATCCCCTCCCTCGACCTGCTGGCAACACTCCTCCTCATGCAGGCCAGGATCCCACTGGCCTTCTTGGCCACGAGGACACATTGCTGAGTCACGGTTAACTTGTTGTCAACCAGGACTCCCAAATCCCTCTCCAAGGAGCTGCTTTCCAGCAGGTCAACTCCTAATCTGTACTGATGTCTGGGGTTATTCCGCCCCAGCTGTAGGACCCTGCACTTGTTCTTGTTGAACCTCAGGAGGTTCCTCTCTGTCCAACTCTCCATCCTGTCTAGGTCCCTCTGAACAGCAGCACAGGCCTCTGGAGCATCGGCCACTCCACCCAATTTTGTATTATCTGCAAACTCTGTCCCTTCATCCAGGTCACTGACGAATAAGTTGAATAGCACTGGGCCCAGCATTAACTCCTTGGGGACTCCACAGGTCACAGGCCTCCAACTAGCCTATCCTCCTTTCAGAAATGGATGCCGGAGAAGGAGGGAAATGATACAGCATCCCAGTCTATCTAGCTTGTGCATCAGAAAAGAAGAAAACTTAAGCAGCAGAACTTCGTAATAGGGAATAGTGGTGGTGGAGTTTCAAGTTGGATTTCCCAAGTCTTCTCAGGCATACTTACCTCTTGACTTGAATTATAAACCTCATGTTCCGAGTTGTGTCTCATTCCCTGACCAGCAGATCCCACATTAACACCTTTGTTCGAAGAGCAAAGGGCTAAGTTCGGGCAACAGTCTCACAAAAAGTATTGGAAGCCAAGTTTTTCACCCTTCCAGAACATGAAAAGATGCTGATTCTTCCAAACACCAAGTAATCCAAAATCAATTTTATGTCACAGTTCAGCTTGAATTGTGTCCCAGCAGCCCAACACTTCTCCCATTCCCCTAAAACATTGTGTCCTCACAAATGTGTGAATACCCTTTGGAAAGTACCCTGGAATGCATTTAACACTTACCTCAAAGGTTTTTATGTGTTATTAGCCTTCTCTAACCTAGTCCCCATGATCACTGTAATATTGAGGAAATCATCAGCCAGCTAAGGATATGGCAAGAAGGTCCCTCTGCTCTTTCTACTTACAACCTTTAGGACTACAAACAGAGTGGAATCATTTAGATGCCTGAATCCAACCTTCTGCAATTGTAGATAACCATGCAAGGATATCTGCAAAATATCCAGTCCAAAGGCAACATCTTGTCTATATAAGAGACAAGAAACCACAGCTCCTTTCCTCTAGGAAACTGCAGGATACAGGCCCTTCTAGATCTCTAAAGCAGCAGGAAATCTTTTAGAGAGAGCAGCTAGATAATTCTAGGAAGCAGATCGTGTTCCATACTATAGGCAGGGTAACAGAGAAGAACCACATCCCACTCCTCACTGCGCACTTGGGAAAAAAAAATCTCTCAACTCAGTGTTGGAGAGATCACCTTAATTTTGGGCACTACATAGCTGAGAAAACAAAGACCCTAATAGCACCAGCATGTTTATTCTGTGACCTAGCTTCAGTATTAATAAAATAAAGACCTAGGACTATCTTTCACACCCCATCTGCTCCTCAAATATGAGCAGCAAAAGTGCAGTATTGATAGAACACTATTAGAACACTATTGATGCAATACCCAACGCAGAGGGTGCAATGAGACCCCATACTGGCAACTCCCATGACTCAGATCTATGAAACAAGCTGTTCCTTACAGCTATTCATAATAGATTCACAAATCATAAGAACAGAGGATCATTAAATCACCAAACCAAGTGTGTCTAACACAGCCCATAGCCTTTTTTCTCCACCATTTCCTCTGCACTGAGCTGATTAACTTCAGGTTAATTAAAGCATCTTCTGGAAAGGCACTCAATTTAATTTAATGACTTAATCAAGATTAGGTGGTCTTAGATCAGGCAAGCCAAAACGATGACAACCTTTCTGGTTTGATTCACAAAAAAAAAAAACCCTCCTTCCATCCAGTCACAGATTACTGTGCAGCTTTCAAAACATGATCAGCAAAGATATCTGGGTTCTTTGCACTTGTCCTTTCCGTATAGCCTTATGCATTCACAGACTGCAAATAACCTGGGTTGCAGTGGATCTCTGAAGATTATCTCCTCCAACCTTCCACTCCGAGCAGGTCCAACTTGATCAGGCTGCTCAGGGCTGCATTCAGCTTTGATTTGAAAGTCTTCAAGGATACAGATTTCCCAATTTTTCTGGGCAATCCACTCTAGTATATAACCACCCTCGTTGCGAAAACACCTCTCCATATGCCTAATGGGAATGGCCTGTATTGCAACATACCTGTTTCTTCGCACTCTCCTCCCTGCTCACCTCTGAGAACAGTCTGACTGTGGTCTTTGCACCCTCCACTAGTCAGAAAGCAATACGTCCTCTCCCAGATCTTCTCAGATACAGACTGAGCAAATCGGTTCCCTCTGTCACTCATCACACCAACCCCCTAATCCAACCTTGGTGGCCCTCCATTGAATCCAGTCTAGTATGTCAACATCTTTCTTGTACAGGGAACCCAAAACTGGACACAGTGCTCCAAGACAGACTTTCACAAAATGGGGAAAATTTTCGTCCCACAACCTGCTGGCAACACATGTTAATAGAGGCAGCTGATCATCTTCGCTGCAAGGACACACCGCTGAATCACACTTAACCTGTTGTCCTTTTCTGCAAAGCCACTTTCTACTCCCTGCCCCACCACTACTGCTGCTACATGGAGTTATTCCATCCCAGATGCATGACTTCCCATCTGTTTTTGCTGATCTTCATGACATTTTTCAATCCATTCCTGTGAGGTCACTCTGAATACCAGCTCTAACTCCCTGTGCATCAGCTGCCCCCTCAATCTGGTATCATCAATGAAGCTGCTGAGACACACCAGGATGGCCACACCCATCACCAGGTAACCAATAAAACTATTAAACACCAGTCCCACTATCAATCCCTGAGTAACAGCAACAGTCCGCTGGCTAGATTTTGTACTGTTGAACTAAATTGTTTGAGACCAGCCACCCAGCCAGATGTCTCTGCAATACTAATAAATTCTATTTGGTGGAGGTCCAAATATACTCAAGCCACCACACTTAGAGTCTTATTTTAAGGAAGAAAAATAGAATAATCTTCTTTTTGATACAGAGTTGCACATAAATATTAACATATATAATATGGATTATCTAGATTACAAAATAGATTATGTTAATCAGGAATATAAAAAAGATTTGATAATCAACTGACAAATCTTGATCTGTTGACAAGAGCTGTTGTAGAAGCAAAATTATGTTTTTATCACTGTGGAAAAGTTCTGCTTTAAGGAAATAAGGCTAAATGAAGCTATACTGGCTAAAGAACAGTATAGTGATAGGAGTTATTTCCACTAAAAGCATTGCTGTTATTGTGTATCAGTACAGAACACTCCTTCTGTAAATCCACAAAATAAATTATGAGATTGTTACTCCAGCTCATTCCAATTGAGTTTGGGAAAAGGACTGAGTATTTACATATTTTGCAAGCTAAAAACTAAAAAACTCACCGTCAAGTCAAAGCAAAAAACCCACATAACTAATATGAGCAACAGCTGAGTTTTTCACTGAGCTCTCCAGCCAAAATCTTGTCCTAAACTTCTTCATCTTCCTCATGCTCTACCATACACTTCTTCACCAACCTGTAAACTTGGGCATCTTTTACAAACCCCTCCCCAGATAATATCAAGAATATAATTATTTTGAAAATTCAAACTATGCATCATTGGCTGTAATGTACAAGTTAACAAAGCAGATTTTAAAAAAAAAACCTGCAACCCTACACAGCATAATAAAATAAAACCCAAAATGCTGTAAGGGACGCAATGAAGCTACCATTGTAAGGAATCTGCTCCCTGTACACTCTAGCAACACAAGATGACCCTACATTAGACAATTTAACTAACTGATCTCCTTACACTCCCTCTGCAGTCAACAAGAGGGCACCTCCAAATGCCTGAAGCAAGTTCCTACTGTGAACTGCCTTTTAAATATCTATTTTCTTTACTTTTTTTTTTTTTATAAGGAGAACTCTATATAGACTGGTAATGTAGTACAGCCTTAAACTTCTGCCTGGGACAGTTGCGAAAGATCATGCTCCTTTGTAAAGGACATGTTAGAGACAGCTCTTCTCCAAAGGACTTTACATAAATCTGTCTGAATATATTTTCAAAGAGTTGTAGCCCTGCAGCACAAATCATATTTATACTGTAAGAAGAAATTATCTGAGCTCTAAAATTCATTGGTTATATTGAAGCAAGTTACCTGGTAATTTAAAGACGAAATGATCAGCTACTACGTGGCAGGTTCTCTTCTGCAGTATAAGAAGTTTAGCCATGAAATAGATATAGTCAACAGGAGTTGCTCCATGATAAAACACAACAAGCCCTGGTCCCTCTGGAATATTTTCTATACCATGAAGCTCATAACCTGTTAGGAGCAAAAGGCATAAGGGCTGTCAAAGTTTTAGATAATTCTATTCCAAAGAATTTGGAATCAAATTGCATCAAATTGGCAAGTTGAAACCAACAGCTATTGAGAAGTCATAGAACAATTAATTAAATAGCTTCTAAGAAAGCAAGAGCTTACTTGCAGCATCTACTGGCTTGCTTTCATAGAAAATAATAGTTTAATTTAACACAGAAGAGCTACATGTAAAGAAAAAAAAAATAAAGGACAACAATAAAATAGCCTGTTGTCTTGAACTGCTATGCAATTTTAACTTGTTGCTTCCTTTGACTACCTTCAAGGCTGGATAAGTCTTCCGAATTCATTGTTCAAAATAAATCAAAATAAGGATTGGACAGGTGGTGAAACACAACCCTTTCAAGCTATTACCTGCCTTTCAAAGTCAGTTCACTGACATGAGTAACTGTTTAGGAAAGTCTGATGTGACAACATCCATTTAACTGTCTCCTATTATTCTGGGGAATGAAGCTCTTCTCTGCTACCTTATTTCTTTTAAGGAATATGTCTGCACCTTCTTTTCATTTGTAAGAACTAAAAGCTCTTTGAGGCTTAAATTAGAAGCAAGCTGTATGTGTTTAGCTGAAGCACACATGCACATATACAAGTTTCCAACTGAGCATATATTTAAGTTTGCAGTGGGAAATATATCCAGTTAACATAAAGCAACTGATGGGTTTAGAATATATTCAGTTAACACAGATGAACTTTGTTACAGCATCCTTTATTATTTATTGTGGCTTCCTCTGAAGTTACCAGTTCATTTACCAGTTCTTTAATTCCATCTGTACTCCTGTCTCTTTGCCCACTGGCCATTTTCCTTCCTACTCTCCTGGCTCTATAACACAGTACAGGCATATACTGCAGTATATCATCTGATACCATCTACACCATCAGAAGTGACCACTAGCTCTGCTCCATGGCAGCTGAAAAGAATGATATGATACCTTAATCCAGTATGTCCATCAAATATATAAACATCCCGGTTTCGTGTATCACTTTTTTTTTTCAGTACTGTGGGATTCCAGGATGAAAAGTCTTCCTGTGATATGTCAATTAATTGAGTTGGGTGTGGGGTAGCGGGAGGAAATTTCACTCTGAACTAAGGGCAGCATATACAGAACATGGGAAGGGGCACACAGAGCAGAGAGAAAGAAGTCACAACAGTGAATGGGGGTCTCAGTGAGGACCTTTTCTGTGCAAATAAAAAGTCAGACTTCATAAAAAAGAAAAAGTTATTATGATGAAAAGAGCTAGGCTTTAAAAATCATTTTCTTATAAAAAAAGTAAGTAACTTTTTATTATGAAGTGAGCATTTTAAGCTCTTTGATATAGCTGTTGATTTTGATCTAACGCACTTCCCTAGATTTGAAAGTTACATCTTAGCCTTACAAAGCCTATCTGATACAGCCACTTCACCATCTGGTTATCAATGCGTTGAAAACCACTTCCTTTTGACTGCAGAACAAATAGAGATGATTTTCAAGAAGGATTTGTTCTATATGTAAATTGCTCTTAAACATCTCTTTCTCCTTTAGCTGCATCTAGTCTGAATGGTTCTGAAAGAGGCTTATGATTTCTTTAGAAAGAAAAGCCAAATCATTTATTATGTCTGCCTTTATAGAAGCAATAAAAGTAGAGGGACAGGGAACAGATCCCTTAGTTTTGACATTCTTCTGCTAGAGAAAGCAGTTGTCAAAAATACATACACGGAAATAAAATAAGAAAGTAAGCTCCAGAGGTAAAAAGCAATAGTTTTGGCCTCTAAAGTCAACAGCAGCAACCACTGCAACTAATGAGCAAACTGATATAAAGCGTTTGTATATGCACTCTGAATAAACAGCAGAAAAACTTTTAGATTTGGCCCATTTTGTTTTGCTTGCTAAAGAATTCCTACAATCTTTCAAACTGGACTAATTTTTAAGACAGCTGTCATTCCAGGTACTCCTGGAATGAGAAAATCCAGAAGTAGTTATTAAAAGCAGAAAGAGAAAAAAAAAGGAATTTTAAACAACAAAGTCTTGCAAACATTTAGCTGGATAAAGATCTCATTTTATACCAGCAAGGAAAGCATAAGAAAGGAAATTTTACATCCAAAAAATAACCCTCAGCTGCTTCTTTTCCTCCTTAGTCAATAACAACTGATGAACCAGCAATTTTGACAAACAAAAGGGAAAAAAAAAAAGAAAAAAAAAAGAAGAAGAATTGGTCCGAATTTCCAATCCCATGAAAATGCATTGAAACTATGATGTATGTTGATTAGCCTGAAAGATAAACCCAGGAATAAGAGCTTCAAAAAATTTTAGTGAAAATTCAGGTCTTGCTTACCATGCCATATTCTTGCATGTCCATCCCATAGTGTAGCCAACATTTGTTTTGCACCATCCCAAAAATCATGGGAATAAGCTTCTTTTAATTCATTCTTCCTTTTATAAATATGAACAAAGATAACAGAAACGTAGACGAAGAGGAGAATAACTCCAGGAAGTAGAAAAACTACCATGAGAGGAAAAAACAGCCACAGCAAGTAGACTGCATAACTCAGGTAGTCCTCGATGTGCTCCACGCCAGTCCATTCTCTCAGCAAGTAAGCCAGGCAGGCAAAGTAGGACATGGGGATCTGTCCTGCAGTACAGGATTCATTTCTATCTATCATCTCCTGTTTAATTAAAGGAAAACAAAACAAAAAACAGAGCAGATGAATAAACTCTCAAAAAAAGACGGACACAAACCTACAATTTTGAAGCAACATTTTTACCTTAAGTTTGTATAACTTCGAGGGAAACTTGTTATTCACTTCACCTAACATGCATTAAACAGGCTGCATGCTGTGCATCTATGCCAGAGTCCTAGAACAAAATAAGCAATACTTTAAAAACATACTTTTACCCTAGGTTTTGGCCAAGACTCAGAGCAACTACCAAATTCCCAAGCAGGGAAGACAAGACAGTCTCTACCTTCAAAAAAGTACGGACTTGTTTAGAGCTAAGTAAAGGCCCAATGTAGTTTATATGCACTATAATGAGTAAAATGGTACAACTATCTACTATATGACTGCCCAGGACAGTTTAAGTTACAAGAAACACCAGTGATGTCTCTCTGGATAGGGCCTTGCTTAAGCAAAGGAAGAGAGACTGTCCTGCCCTTCCCTCCTGGTCAGGAATTTTCTAACATCTGCCACCATGTAAACCCAAAAATTAAAAGGTGTGCAGTACTCTGAGTCTCAAGTACAGGCAGAATCCATCTGAAACATGGTCATAGCTTTAAAAGATGATTTCTGACTGGCATCGCTAAAACATTTCTTCTCTCGTCATAGCTGATGTCAGCTATGTCAGTCAGAGATGATTTCTCACTGGCATCGCTAAAACATTTCTTCTCTTGCAGTCTGAGCAAAAAAAAATTAATCTCAATTCTACCTTGGTAGCATATCATAGATTACATAGATTTGCACCAAAAAAAAAAAAAAAGATGCAGTTTCACATTTTCCTAATGTTAGTGCACACTACATTCTAGCTTTGGGCTCTATGCTGATGTTGAAAGAACTGAAACAAGGCTAACATAAGATCCCCTGCACTGATTTCTAGCATGTGAGTCAGAGATTCTTGCACAAACTAGAACAGAGGCTTCCAGCTGCAGACATGGAGACACTTGGGATACTCCCGAACATGCCACAAGAAGGGTTTTAAGGAGAGCAATGCTTCCTGCTGTCGACACAACATGATTTGGTCCCAATTTTACATGAAATGTCTAAGTGGAATAGGAAGAAAACATCCAACATCTCCAATTAGAAAGATACTGAAAAACAACAGTTGCAACATGCTTGGGCCGAGGGGAACGCATTGCTGGCTGTTGCGCCAGCCAGTTGCAGATCTACCCAAGTAAGCGAAGCCACCACAGCCACCAGCAACAGGAGAACCCAGTAAAACTGCTCTGGCACCTGCAGCCTCCCCTCCTTAGGAGGCCCTAAGTTCACTGGGATCCTCGCTCTGGTTCTTGGGACAAGACCCAGCTTGCTTCCCACTCCTGTGGTGCCTCCTTCCGTGAGAAGCAGGAGGAGAACAGGGATTTTTTTTTTTTTCTTCCCTAAGGTGAACAAATCCAGCTCAGCCGCTCAGACGAAGCGCTCACGAGGCGACTGTGGGAAGCAGCAACGCACCTGCCTTTATCACAGGCTGCTGCTCAAAAACGGGGCTGTTCGGGGAAAAAAAAATCTCACTTTAGAGGGCAACCTTCAGGCGGAGACCCCTCTCGCGGCCGAGTCGGGCGGTCTGCGCTACAAAATGCGTTTTAACGTCCCGGGGCGAGGGGCGCTACGTGATGAACAGGGCCTGGACCGCGGCCAGAGGGGAGGCGGGGGGGATGCCGTTCCGTCTCCCACAGAGCTGCCCCCAACGGCGCCCGCCCGGCCCGCGGCCTCCCAGGGAGAGCAGGAGGGAGGCCCCTTCCCGCCGC